CCATCTCTGTTGGTAGTGGTGGAAGTCAAGCAGGTGTAGCCACTGGAAGGGTTTGACACACTGAGGCTCTAAGGATAAAAACAAGAATTGTTGTGAGTGGATTTATCTGTTTTATCATTTTCCTTTTATAATTATTATTATTTATTATTATTTAATTATTATTATTTTTTCACTTCGTCAGGCCAGGACTCCACAGTATATTTAAACCTACAGGCCAGTGGACACTCTTTCAAGGATGAGGATGTACACATTCTGGACAGGGAGGAACGCTAGTTTGAGCGAGGAGTAGAGGAGGCCATTTAAGTCAAAAGCGAAAGACCATCTTTGAATCGAGGAGGGGGCCTAAGGGTACATCTTTCGCCATCTTACAATGCTGTGATTGCAGCCATTCCCCAACTCTCTGTGAATAGTACTCATGGCCATTGATCAGTGGGCTTTGATCAATGAACTTTGATCAGTGGTTGTTAATCAATGGTCATGCGAATTTGCATATTAATGATCAAGGAACTGATCTCCCAGGCCATTGTTCCTTCAGTGGGCTGGTTTCAGTCATTATGCAAATGTACTGTTTATAAGATTGGGGAAACCTACAGTCAGCTGAGACTGAAGAAGTCGCTTGGATGAGTGACGAAACGTTTCTCCCACTGAAAACGCTGCATCCAGATGAACAGAATCAAACTTTGGGGATATTATTATTATTATCATTCTTATCATTATTATTATTATTGTTATTATTATTATAACTCTTATTATTTCTCCCAAACGTTTTCCTCTGCCTTTTTTCTGGAATTGCATTGTGGGTCACACTTCCACATGCTTTCGGGCGACTTTGCATTTAATTATAATCATCTCTGTTATTCTGCAATCTATTTTGTCTTAGCTGACTCATACATGCTCAGTGTTTCTCTTTGTTAAAACCCAAACGCCCAGTATTTAGCTGTACCTGTGTAGAGGAGGAGTCTGACGATGCCGTCTGATCGCGCTATCTCTGTCTTTTTAATGGGGACGCACCAGAAAGGAGGAGGCTACTCAGGATGACGTTGCTTTTTGCAGGCGAGTGCCACACGTGACTGACTTGATAGTCGGAACACCTCAGAATACAGACCGAGGAAAGTAGGAGGACTGCGAGAGAAGCCGGACGACCTCCTGGAGCACAGCATCAGCACCCGGAGGACGGCATCATTTCTGGGATTGCTTCATTGTAATTTTGCTCATTTTAATGAACGCTTTAACCTTTTTGTCAGCTGTTTGTTATTTTAACAGGCAAAACAGCAACAAACTTTTGTAATCTTTCATTTCCAGCCTGCAATCCAGCTGACATTGATTGCCCCCTCCAGCGGTTTTGTGTTAGGAATTGTGCGCGGTGTTTTGAATGCCTCGAACAGCTGCAGCAATCTTCGCGGTGCTGACCGCCTGCCTCTGGTTCTCACCCGTTCTGTGTGCTGTAGGAAGAACCCGCCAGCAGCTCAATTACCGACCAATTATCGGTAAGATTTGGTCACATGAACGGTTGTATTTAGTAAGTACTGGTCCCCGTAGAAGTCGTTTATACACGTGGATAGTTGAAGGGTCTTATGTAATTCTCGCCTGGAACGTTCGAGAAAAGGTGTGTTACACGGATTGGGGGGTGAGTGAGGAAAGGGATGTCTTCCCTGTGGATTGGTTTACGCGTTGTTATATTGAGATATTATTATGTTTTTGATCATAGACTTTTGGTTGTCTTCTCAAGATGTCTGCTTTGTGTTTATTGACATGGTCCAATATTTGGGGAAAAAATCAGTGCAAGTCACATTTTCATTATATGTTGTTCATTCTTAAGTTTAATGGTGTTAATGCTATCAATAACTATAAGAAAATAGATTATATTTAATTTATTGCTTTTAACCCCACTTGGGACGCATTTTTGACCTGTCCTTTAATTGAGGCTATGCTATGTATTGGATCAACAAGTTTTAATGTTGCACTTTGCCAGAGAACCTAATTTTGCTGTAATGCACCCAACCTGTTTCATTGCTAAATCCAATTCAACTCAGATTTCAATTAGAGGAAGTAGCTGGATAGACACAAGATTTTAAGTCTAACAATAACTTCAGCTTTGGCTACATTTGAAAGACTAAAATCATATCACGATTCACAGATAAATTTGAGCGATGTTCAGATAAAGAAGATAACCAACAGCTGGTGTTCACAGGGGCATTTGAATATCTGTGCCCAAAAAGAAATGAATTTGAGGTCTCAACGAACTGTTGACTGCTGCTCCCACTGCTTTCACTTCCACCCCTTAGCTTCTCTCTTTTCTTCTTTTAATTTATAGTTTAATAGTATTGTTCTGCTTACTCATTAGATTATCTCACTTCATTAGTAACTGAATTGGTTGTTTTTGATAAAGGCCATATTAATCTAATTTTACAATACTCAAAGTGTGTTCTTTTAAAAAGGATAGCCCAGAATGAAGCATCATACTATGCAAAATTAGTTACTTTGTTCACTTTCAACTATGTACACAGAAATGAAATTAGGAAAAGTGACTCCTTGGTGGGTTGTTTTATTTAAAATTTTTAGCCATTTTTAGTATGACAGTCCTGTCTAAATCTGTCCTTTTCAGTGAACTTTTTAACTTTAACCATGGTTAAACAACATTTTCACTTTCACTGTTTGAGTTCTTTCTCGTAATATCTGCTATATCATGTGTCTTATGTTCTTGCTAGGTGTGTTGGCACAGGAAAACCTTCCATGGGACCAGTTTGCTCGTGGGTCTTCTTACATAGCTGCCTCCTATGTCAAATACCTAGAGGCTGCTGGGGCCAGGGTTGTACCTATTCGGTAAGAAAGTTAGATGAGTTTAAGGAAATTATCCTTAATAATACTTGTTTGCACCAAGACCAACCTGTGGTCATCAGGTCCCTTCATGACCTCTCTGTGTTTGCTGTGTATTTCTTATATGCATTTACTCTTTCAGCACCCCTTGAAGCACTCATACAATTCACATATGATTTGCATACAAAACGAAAATTCATTACTCGACCAGACAACTTATTATTTTACACAGTAGTCATTTAATTGTATATGTTTTTTAATAAGTGCTTTTTTTCTGACTAATTGTCTGTACAAAACAAATGTTTCGGGTGATTAAGAAATTGGCTCTGACTCAATTCATTGCAATAATCTCAGTACTGTTTGAGCCACATGCCACTTAGTGCACATCATATGTTTAGTGCCTCATCATACTTTTCTTTTTACTGATAACGATATTCCACTTTGTTTGGATTATAAGACATCATGAATGTTCATGATTTAGCTGTTAATCAAATATAATTTCTCTTATCTTTTTTTTTTTCCTACTAAATATTGGCAGTTACGCTTTCATTTATTTCTCTTTGTAGCATTTAAGGTTTTAGGCACATTGTTATAATAAAACAATAGTATCAGTATGCTCCATCCTGACGTCATCTAATTGTAGCTGCTTTCAGTTGTTGCTTGTTTGTGGCTCTCTCTGCCTTGAGTTTGTCTGCAGTAACTTAAAGGTATGCTCTGTTGGGCTGACAGGTGACTGACCAGGTCATTGAAGAGTATCCCAGTTTTTTTGCCTCATGATACATCTGGGTTGCTTTTGCAATATTTTGCAAAGAGAGAGAATATCTGTTTAAAGAATTGTAGTGCAGAACATGGCCAAACTTTTTTTTTTTTTTTAATGTTTTCTCACCCGGCCTTTCCGTTCTTAGGTGTAACCAGTGGTTTGCACCATGTTTTAAACACTCTGTACTTACTTTTATGAAAGGATCTCTTGGTTGTAGACTACATACCAATCAGACATAATATTATGACCACTAACATAAGTAAATAAGATTGATTATTTCTTCATTATTGCACCTGCTAGGGCAGTGATTCCTGAAGTGGGGGGCATGGTATGGATTAAAAAAAATGAAAAAAGAATGCTTGGACACTGCTAGTGTAATGCACAGGTTTTTGACAGGGTTCCCACACAAACACAAAGCAGAAGATGAAGCACCGCCAAATATGCTTCCAAACCAACTTCCTTTCAAGCCAAAGACTAGAAAATATGATGAAGCATATCTTGCCTTTGGCTTCAGCTGCACAACGGTGGTGCCAAGGTAGCTATCCGCGTTTCACGGACAAACAGTATCCCACATTCATGATTCTTAGTTCACAAACACTTGTTGTAATGACTAACTACTCCTGAAATATTGGAGATGTTAGCTCCTTATACAGTAAAGTTACAGTGGGATACAAATAATGTCAGGCTGATCCTGCCACAAATTGTTCCCCGTGTATAAATCACGGACAAACAGTATCCCACAGTTGTTTGTTTTTAAACTCATTTTGCACAGACAGGCACGTTGAATATTCTTACACAGTTAAAAAAAGAAAAATAACTACATGTAAAATAATTACACCATAAAGATGGTTTTGTTTTCTGTTATTTAAGGCTGCGTCCACCCGTACATGGGTATTTTTGAAAAAGAGAGATTTTCCATTTTCGTTAAAAAAATTAAATGAAAACCCGTCCACATGTGCAGTTTCAAAAAATTGCGTGTGTATATGTAAGCCTGTAAAAACTACAGATAGTAACAGCAACAGTATTTTTGTCTTTATCTGCCATTGTAGAAATTCATCTCACATAAATAATAATGTGGCGCACAGCATGTCGTCAAAATAGGCGCACACATTTGACGTTGCGTGACTAAATCTCCGTTTTCCTCGTCCACAGATAAATGCAAAAAGTGACTTTTTGAAAACTCCACCCTGGCAGGAGTTTTTAAGAATCTCAGTTTTCAGTGATCCAAAATACTGCTTACGTGTCAACGAAAGGCCCAAAAGCATATTAAACAAGCTGGCCGAGGCAGTGTGATGCTTTGGGTGATATTCTGCTGGGAAATCTTGGGTCCATGTGGATGCTACTTGGGCACATACCAACTACTAGGGGTGCAACGATATTCGTATCGATATTGAACCGTTCGATACAGTGCTTTCGGTTCGGT